GGGTCTGACCAGTGGGCCCCTTCTCTTCCAGCTCTCTCGGCTGCCCCGGCTTTTTCTTGTGGGGCCGGGGCTTTGGATGTCGACTTGGCCCCGAGGCCTGGTGTAAAGCCTCCTGGGGCTGGGGAGGAGCGGCCTTGGGCTCCATTGCGCCCCGCCTGGATTTCCGTCCTTCTGAGCGGGGCTTACTGTTGTGAGGAGTGGGGTTTTCTTTCCCCTCTCTGCGTACGGTTTGGGGTTGGGTTCTGCTCCTCCCCGGGTTCGGTTCCGTGTCCCTGTGGTTTCTTCGGTTCCGTGTCCCTGTGGTTTCTTCGGTTCCGTCTTCCGGAGGTTTTCGGCTAACCGCATCTCTTCGCTTGCGGTGCGGTTGGCCTTTGCGGCTTATCTCCTGCGTGTCCTGGAGTTTACCTCCATACTGGTTCCTTCTGTTCTGGACAGGTTGGGCTCTTTGTAGCCGTTTGGGCTCCTTGTAGCCATTTTGGGCTCCTTGTAGCCGGTTGGGCTCCTTGTAGCAGTTTGGGCTGCTTGTCACCAGTTGGGCTCCTTGTAGCAGTTTGGGCTGCTTGTCGCCAGTTGGGCTGCTTGTCGCCAGTTGGGCTACTTCTCGCCTTGTTGGGCTCCTTGTAGCCGGTTGGGCTACTTCTCGCCTGGTTAGGCTACTTCTCACCTTGTTGGGCTACTGTTCTTTCGCGTTCTGCGCATGTGCCGTGGGAGTTTGTTTTGGTTCCGGGCGGTGTGCACACGTGTTCTGCTTCCATTTTCTCTTTGGGGGGGGGGGCTTCGCCTCTCGATCTTTTCTTAATCCAATCCGTGCCCCGTTGCTTTTGGGGGTGTTCTGGGGTACCGCTGTGGGGAAGTCATGAGGTTTTTCCCTGCGTTCTAGGGTGGGGAGCCTCCTTCGCCTCTCCCCTCCTCTCCAGCATGGGCGCCCTGGCCGCCTCCGGCGGCTACGGACTCGAAAGCTTGCGTCATGGCCCTTCAGCGCCTAAGTTCTGCAGGTGAGTTGGTGCAGTTTGGCGTCTCCTTTGTCCTGATGCCGTTTTTGTTTTTGGAAGTAGGAATGGGTGTACATACGTACTTGAGAACGTGACCCGTATCACCCGAGGTGCCTACTGCAGGGCTATTATAGCCCATACTGGGCAGCTCTTGTTCTCTCCACCTGATTCCTTCCTCGGTTCACGGGTGTCTGTGGGTGGCCTCTTGTCCCTTCCGAGGCGGCTCCTGCCTGTACTCCTCCTGCCCCTCTCCTATGCTTGTCTAACCTTGCTTGAGTTCGGGGCCCCGCCTCCACCTTGTTCCGCAGTGCAATGGTGGGGGTGCCTGTTTGGTGGTATGTTTTCCTGTGTCAAGGGTGTTTTGTGCTCGCCTCCTTGTGCTTGCAGGATTGGGCTCTGGCTCTTTGGTTCCGCCTCTTCCCAGTTGTTTGCCTGTCGAGCGGTTTCTGTGCTTCATGGGCGCTCTCGTCTCTGCTCTTGGGGCTGTGTGTAGGGTCAGCCCAAGTTGGGCTGTCTAATGTGTTCCTTCAATTGCCTGTTTCACTGCACACATTTCTTCTACCGTCCCTGTGGCTCAGTTGGGTGCTCGGTTTCCGCCTGTGTCCCCTTGTGTGTCACTCATGTACGATTTATCTATCTTCTGTCGCTTCCTCGGGGAGTGTGGTGACGTTTTGCTGCGGTTTTGGTACTGCAGCTGCGTGTCGGGGTTGGCTGTGGCATTATGTTCGGCCCTTCCGTGCTCCCTCTGGGGCCCTCCTTCCTTAATTACCGGTCTTGCTGTGCCGGGCCTGGTTTTTCCATGTTCCTTGGATTTTCTGTCTTGTCCTCGCCTCGTTGTGCTGGCTGGGGATGAGCTTGGGGTCTTCATCTCGCCCCTCACCTATCCTCCGGTTTCGGTTCTAGTTCCAGAGCCTAGTGGGCTCCCTTCCTTAGTGTTTTTCCCGGCTGCCCCGGGGTTTTTCTTGACGCTGGGGCTTTGAGGGGACAGCTCGGCCCCGGGGCCTGCAGGGTGGGTTCCCGGGGCTGGGGTGGGGCTAACATGAGGGGCCTCAGGCCCCGTTGGTCCCCGCCGGGGTATTTTTACCCCTCTGGGCGGGGCTTGCGGCTTTGTGGTGTGGGGTTTTCCGTTCCCCCTCTCCGCACGTGCTTTGTGGGCGTCGGCCCCTCCCTGGGCTCGGTTTCCTTGTCCATTGTGTCCGTTGTTTCCGTCCTGTCGATGGGTGCTTTTCTACGGTCTTTGCCCCTTTTTTCCGGGATGGGCCTTCTCCGTCATGTCCCCCTCTTCTTGGGGTTTCTGCATGACTTTTGGTCTCGGGTGAGACGGGGTTTTTGTGCCTTCATCCTTTGTGTTTGCTTCTTTTTGTTCTCGAAGGTTCGGGACGGTTTTGCTTCTTCCCTCCGGTCCTTTCTAGGGCTTGTGGGTTCTATTCCCGGCAGCTTCTGGGTGTTTGGCCTTCTTGTTCTTTTCTGCATATCTCTTCTCTTCGCGCTGTCTCGGCGCTACTCGTTTTCCTGGGGGCGATTTTGCTCCTCTTAATGAGTCTTTTCGCTCCTGCCCTTCTGCGGGATGTTGGTGCGGGGCAGCTCCTTATGCGGGTTCCTTCCCCTGTTGGCTGCACTTGTGGTGGTGGACTTGCACGCTTGTGGCATTTTGGTTTTGGGCCTGCATTTTCTTTTCCCTCCTGGGGCTGTCATAGGATTGGCTTGCGGAGGATGTAGAGGCGCTTGGGGCCGTTCCTGGGTCTGGCACCTTGGTTTCTGCTGCTAGCTTTCGGTATCGATGTTCCTTCTGCTCCGTTTCGCAGGCTGTCTCGTGCATTGTTTCACCTCCGGCCTGCTTATGCACTGCCTGTGCCGTCCTGGTCTTTGGACAGGGTGCTCTCCTGTTTTTCATCTCCATGGTGGTTGTGGCTCCTTGGGGTCAGGTTTGCTTTGCCTCGGCTCTTTTTATGTTGGCATTGGCCTCTGGGGGTCGTGTGGCAGAGCTTCATGCTCTTCTCAGGCACAGTGGTTTTTGGCTCCTATGGTCGTGGTCATAGGTTTCTTCGTCTGTGGCCATTCTCCCTTTTTCTGGTGAATGATGTGCCTGCTGCTTTCCGGAGTGGTCCTTGGGTTGTTGTCTCGACTTCGTGTTGAGGAGTGGTTCGCAGACCACCTCCCGGGTATGTCCCCTTGTTTTCTTAGGTAGTCTTTGGTGAAGTAGCTCCGGGGAGCCGTAGGGGCTCCCCCCAGAAAACCAGCGTTGAATGTAATGAAATGCCATTTTCTGGGTGAGTCCCGGAGGCTCCCCGGCACCCTCCCGCCCTCCGGTCGGCGTTTTTTTCGCGGTTTTGATATCCAGCCTCAGAACTGGGGCGGGGATCGCCGGCGTGGGGGTCTGGGGCTCCCCCTTCCCTCTCCTGGGGAGGGGGGGAGCTGCGCAGACATGCGGCTCGTGTGACGTCATGCTTGTTAGTTCGTTTTCCTGGGGGAGTTCTGTCCACTCGTTTGTCGATTTTTGTTGTTAACCAGAATAGGGGTTTGTTTTGTGGCGCTTACCTTTCAGGGTGCCTGTCCCGGTCTATGGCAGATATAGAATGCTCCAAATCATGTGCATTTATATGGGCCATTGCTCCCCGTGCCTCTTTGAGGGGGCCAGGTTCTGGCTCGTGGTCCCCGGTAGACCTAGAACTCCACCCACATCGACTGATGCAAAATAGTTAGGGTATCCATATCAGCCATGGATAGCTCTGGGGAGCCTCCGGGACTCACCCAGAAAATGACGTTTCATTACATTCAACGCTGGTTTTTTATTTTATTTTATCATTATGAGTAACTAAAATTTAATGCTAAGTAACAATCAAGTAGGGATCAAGATGAATCATGAGCCAACTGTGTGCTAAAGCCTTCCTCTGGTTATTTGTCTTGATTTTAAGTATATCTACATGTTGAGCAAATGTGTTCCAAATGCAAGTCTGCCTAGGAATGAATGATCAATGATCACAGTCTCCGTGGTGTAGTGGTAAGACTACAGCGTTTCATGAGCGCTTTGTCATGGATTCGTATCCTGGCCGGGGAGGATTTACTGGGCTCAAATCCTTAACTGTAGCCTCTGTTTAACTCAACAGTAAAATGGGTACTTGGATGTAAAAACGATTCTTCCTGGCGGGGATTGTATTCCAGGGACCTGCCCGAAACCTCACGACCTCACATGTCGAGCCTGGCCTCGGGCCGGGCTTGGGGAGTAGAACTCCCAGAACCCCATCAAGCAGGAAACGCCAGGCGTACTAGTGGCTGTACAAGAATGTAACAACTCTTGTATATATCTAAAAAAAAAATGATGGATTGAAGTTTTTGAAAAAGACACAGCCTGCATGAGACTGTTGATTGCTGAGTGCCTTGTACTGTGATTGCAAACTTCTGGTTGTCCACAAAACTGAGACAGATGGGGAACCTTGAGAACACTTCCCTTATACATAATGGAATATACGCCAACATACATCTATGCAGTGTTGAAGGCTCTGATGCGCTGACTGATCAAGACTGGAGAAATCATCTCGCATGATTCTCCACCTTCAGGTGAGATAGCTGATAGAGAAACTAGTGTGCAATTAAGCACTTAATCACTGAAGGTGATTTAAGGTGCTTTTACAAGCTCAGGTTATATAGTTACATCACATACACACATTGTATAATTGATACATTACATGGTTAATCTTGGGTACAAGTCTAATATATCATCATAAGCCTTCCGGGAGAGCGGTGCGTATTCAAGATGGGAGCAAACCTGGGCCTCGTATAGGGTTTTGCAGCCTCTGATGTAAAGAAGGTATGAGATTTGATTTAAGGCAGTTAATTTCTTGCCTGCCATGCTTGCTAGGATAAGCACAAGTCTTTTCATGGTCATTGAAGAGTCAAACTTCATTCTCAAAATGTCAACTTCATCGATGAACACTAGGTTTCCCACTCAATTGTATACCTATCCTATTTACAATATCTAAAATATCAATACATGTTTCTTGGTGACAGGTGTTGCGGACTCTCCCTTGGGACAAGATCAAGATCCGGCTCCTGTGTGTGGAGATCAACCACATCCCAGAGGGCGAAGGTGTTCTCCGAGAGTACATGCAGTCGCAGGGCTATAAGTTTCTTGGTGTCAGGGACGTTGATGCCTGGTTCGCCCTGCCTCAACTGTTGAATCAAACTATGAACAAGAGCTGAGCTGTTAATCATTTTTAAAGAGCCTGTTTTTGTTTTATCTAAGAAAATAACTAGCTTTTAACACGTGCACTGATTGCTAATTGTTTTCAGAAAACACATAAGGGTTTCACAAGTTAACTGATATTTTAGTGACCAAATATTTCATAATTCCCAACATAATGCAGCAGAAAAATGTATATGGGTTTATCATATTATTGTGGCTAATGTGGTCTGTTGTATCATCATTTCTAATGTATTCATATGATCTTGTATAATGTGGTGTTTATACAAGATTATATAAAGATCACATAAGACAAGATCAAATACCACATTAGACAAGATCATACAAATACTGCATTAGATAAGCTTATGCAACAACCACATTGGACAAGATCATACAACAGACCACACTGGACAAGATCATACAACAGACCACACTGGACAAGATCATACAACAGACCACACTGGACAAGATCATACAACAGACCACACTGGACAAGATCATACAACAGACCACATTGGACAAGATCATACAACAGACCACACTGGACAAGATCATACAACAGACCACACTGGACAAGATCATACAACAGACCACACTGGACAAGATCATACAACAGACCACACTGGACAAGATCATACAACAGACCACATTAGACAAGATCACACAATGTGGCCCAAAGATCATACAATGTGTTGCCTCTGGAAAGATTCCAGAGGCAACAAACTGCTGCCCAACTGAAATTTCAATTGGGCAACAACTTGTTGCCTCTGAAATCTTTCCTATTATGGCTGTCTCATTTGTACAGTGATAGAGCTTCTGCCTCACGCTTGTGGAGTCGGCGGTTCAAATCTCCTAGTGCCATGGAAATAGTTATTTCCACGATAGTGTGGTTGACAATTCATATGACGTGGGCATGGATCACTAGTTTCTATGTACCTAGTAGCAGCCAGGGCAAGTATAAAATGTGATCTATTGTATGATCTTGTCTAATGTGATCTTTGTATGATCTTGTATAAAGGCCACATTAGAAAAGATCATACAAAGACCACATTATTATACATCTGAGTACTGTGTATCATTGTGCCATGTATTTACCCAGTTCATTGTGATTGTACCATCACCACAAACTCATCTTGCATCACGGTGTACAATACCCCACACCCGAATAGCCTGCACATAGTTAGCCATGTGTGGCTGCTGTGAGGTGAAAGCTAAATCCGACAAGGGAACCACACTATTCAGCGCCTGGAGCCGAGTCAACACCTAATTAATAAGGTATGAATATGTCTCTGGGAGTGTTGAGCCGGCCAATTACATAAGCTGTAAACTATCATTTTGTAAAATAAATTACCATGCACTCTTCCGTGGAAATAAACATTCTTCCTTATTAGGACACTACAGCCCCGAAATCATCTCAAGATAACCTCAAGGACTACTCAATAGCTCGGTCGATAGAGCTTCGGCCTCACACTCATGGGGTCCACAGTTCGAATCTCCTAGAGCCCAGGTGAATGGAATATCATTTTGTAACTTGCGATTGATTTTGACAAATCGACCACCTAGTTAAGAAAAACTCCCTCAATGTCTGGAATGGACAGGAGTTTAATAATTGAAACGTTTGGCACTGACAGGTTGCTAGTCCAGTACTCACTTAATTGTGCTTGCGGGGCCGGGCCTTGGCTCTTGTTCCCGCTTTTCAACTGTCAATAAACCAGTGTACAGATGTCAGAGTCTATTGGGCTCTATCTTATCTACATTTGAAACTGTATGTGGAGTCTGCCTCCACCACACAACTTCCTAATAACGCTTTGCGTAATAGTGGCTTTAGGCATTGTATGTACTAGCTCTACCTATAAGTCAACCAATCTTTGTAAAAATTTCTTGTATGTACCTTACCTAAATAAACATTTATTTATTTATTTATTAATGCATTCCATTTGTCAACTACTCTGACAATAAATTTGTTTATTTCTAATGTCTCTTTGGCTCATTTGGGTACTCAATTTTCACCTGTGTCCTTTAGTACATGTGCCCCTTGTGTTAAATAAACTGTCTTTATCTACCCTATCAATTCCTCTGAGAATCTCGTATGTGGTGATCAAGTCTCTCCTAACTTCTGTCTTCCAGCAACGTGAGATTTAGTTCCCGTAGTCTCTCCTCATAGCTCATACCCCTCAACTCAGGTACTAGCCTGGTGGCGTACCTCTGAATCTTCTCCAATTTAGTCTTGTGCTTGACAAGATACGGACTCCATGCTGGAGCTGCATACTCGAGGATTGGTCTGACCTATGTGGTATACAAGGTTCTGAATGATTCCTTACACAAGTTTCCAAAGGCCGTTCTTATGTTGGCCAATCTGCCATGTGCCACTGATGATATCCTCTTGATGTGGGCTTCAGGGGATAAGTCTGCAACCCGTTCTCGCAAATTCGTAAAGTCAATATTGACTTATGACGTCTGGCATGATATCAACCCCCAGGTCTTTCTCACACTCTGATTCTTGAATAATTTAATCTCCCGCATGGTACCTTGTATCTAGTCCCCTGCTCCCTACACCTACTATATCTTCATTACTTTACATTTGCTCAGGTTAAACTCTTAACAACCATTTGTTGGACCATTCCTTCAGTTTGTCCAGGTCTTCTTGAAACCTCATTCTGTCCTCTGTCTTAATCCTTCTCATAATTTTGGCATCATCAGCATACATTGAGAGGAATGAGTCTATACCCTCTGGAAGACCATTTATGTATATCAGAAACAAGATAGGTCCGAGTACTGAACCCTGTGGGACTCCGCTGGTGACATCGTGCCAGTCTGAGGTCTCACCTCTCCTATAACTCTGCTTTCTATTGCTTAGGTACTCCCTTATCCACTGGAGCACCCTACCAGTTACTCTTGCCTGTTTCTCCAACCGGTGTGTTGGAGAAACACATTGGTTGTGAAGAAAGAAATGTTTCCTCACTTCCAATGTGGTAGTGCCCAGCCAGTTGCAAGTAAAGTATTCCACATTTAGGATCTGCACGAATGTGTTATTGATTGTGCTATATCAGTAATTTTACATATGAAGTCTGTGTGACTCGTGTATTGAGTATTGATTTATTTGTCTCAGGGTTAATTTGAGCATTTCATTATACTTAGTACTTGTGCTGTGGACCAGTTATATAACTGATTTCATTGTGTATGTTTATCATATATTATTATGCAATCTTTTCCAGGAATTATTATATAATTGCTCTGTGCTTTAGACAGATAAATCAGTGATAAGATTTGACTGTGCTTAACTTGCAATATTGCCTGACAAGTGTTAAAATATTCAGTAATGTGTTATACCTGTCACTATCCCTTACTGTTGCCAGTGCCAGAGAGTTATCATGCGTGTTCACTTAGATCATTCTGTTGCCTTGCAAGCAGCTCGAGACTGTTTTCCCTTAAGCATTCTGGCTCCTGTGGATCTCATCCTGCTGGGTAATGATAATTGTACCTGTACTGCTTTTGCTGGCGTGATACTGTTAACACTAATACACACAGTTTCTTTACGTTAAGTTTTGTGAATAAATTAATCTTTTATATTACATGCAGCTTTCAGTTAACACCCTTCCCAAATACTACTCTCCCTCGACATTATTGCCTACTTAAGTAATTCTTATCACCATCTCAAGGGTAGCACTGCTTCACAGCCTGCATCAACACAAATTTGATGTAGAACCTTGTAATGTCTTACAACCTCTAGCAATACAGTAGTCGTCTAGGCAGGATGATGACCTGCGACTCATTCTATTGGAAGAGATTTATTACTTGGTGTCATTATCTTGACTACTGCTGCATAGGCATCTTGTCATTTGCTCTTTGGGTAACTCAACGTAGGGCTATTTCAAGTACAAGGTGCAGTTGCACGTTTCCACGAGAACCCAGTCAATACAGAGATTCTTGTTGTATTGATGAGTGATTATTGCCCTGACATGGTGATAGTTTGGTTATATCCTTAGAAGCATAGGACATTGCACAAAGGAGAATCTGAGTAGCATCGCTAAGAAAAGTAGTATACCGATATAAAAATTAAAAACAAAAATTATGCCCAAAGTTAGCTGACCATCTTGACAATGTTCTAAAACTTGCATCTCCTGCACATGATTGATAAACAATAGACCACCAAAATAACCAGCGTTGAATGTAATGAAACGCCATTTTCTGGGTGAGCCCCAGAGGCTCCCTGGAGACAAGATCACACATGCGCCTCCTGAGCCTATCGGGCTAATGTATGTTATGTTAGACCGGGACATTAGCTATGGAGTTCAGACCTACCAGGGACCAGCGCCAGAACCTGGCCCCTTCAGAGAGGTTTCAGGGAGCAATGGCCCTGGAAAACCCCATATGGTTGGGGGTTTTCCTTATCTGCCATCGACCGGGGTTAGGCACCCAGAAAGGTAGGCGTAACAAAACAAACCCCACATGGTAAGAAACTACAACAAAAACTGAACAGAGAGGTAGAAAACTCCCTACAATCCCAATGAAACAAGCAAACAATCAATTTACTGCCGCGCCGGTCGTCCGCACAGCCCTCCCCTCCCCAGGAGGGGGGGTCCCCGGACCTCACCACACCGGCTGCCTTCACTTCGGAAACTAGGCTTCAACCAACACTGAAAAATCCCGCCGACCGGATGGGAGGGAGGGTAGCCAGGGAGCCTACAGGGCTCACCCAGAAAATTGCGTTTCATTACATTCAACGCTGGTTTTCTGTGGGAAGCCCCTACTGCTCCCTGGAGCTACATACCCAAAGAGAAGGAAAAAAAGGGGACTTACCCGGGAGGCGGCGGCCACAAACTCCTCAACGCGAAGTCGAGATAACTGGCTGCAACCTGCGACCCAAAGCAACACAAGAACGCCGAGGAGCAGGGACGTTCACCAAATAATGGGCGGCCAGGACCCTGTTCGACTTCCAAAATCCACGCGCCCGAATATGTGCCCAAGACATATTACCAAACACGGCAGCCAAAGCCGCAAACTTCCTAACGTCATGGGCGCGAGGATAGACCGCAGGCTGGCTAGATTTAATAACCCTGCGGACAACCTGGGAGACCCGAGCCCTGGAACAGGGAACAAGGGAAACCGGATCAACCCAAAGCGCATCCCCAGCCACCCCGGCTGAAGCGCGCAGGTAACGGCGAAGTGCTACAACTGGACACAACACATGATGCACCCCCGGTCGAACCAACCAAGCATCAATGACCCACAGACCCCTCCGGAAAGCAGCCGTATCGTTCTTCGCCAGAAAAGATGGAGAAGGCTGCAAACGGACAAACCTACCCCCAGGACCAAAAGAGCAGAAACCCCTGCGCCAGATGAGAGCATGAATCTCCCCTACCCGGCCCCCAGAGGCCAATGCCAACAAAAACAAAGCCTTGGAAAAACAATCAGGAACCAAAGGGGCCACCTCAAACCGAGGAGAGGAAAGATAGGAGAGCACCCTGTCCAAGGACCAGGATGGCTCAGGAGGCGCATGAGCAGGCCGGAGGTGAAACATAGCATGGGAAAGCTTACGAAAAGGGGCGGATGTGACGTCCACCCTGAAAGCTAGCTTGAGCGGCTCCACTAGCGCCGCACGATACGAGGCGACAGTATTAGGCATCAAATGTCGGTCCTGAAAAAGCCAAGAAAGAAAGGACAAAATAACCCGATCCGAAAGAAAAGACAACCTACGAAGAGCCAGAAAATGGCAAAAAGAACGCCAGGAAACTTCATACTGTCGCCGAGACGAAGCTCTCAGGTGGGACACCATCAACGAAGCCAGCTGATCACCATAGAATTGGTGATACACCCGCGTCAAAAAGACCAGACACGAAGAGCAGAGAAGGTGAACCAGCCCCGTACCGGATCGGACCGACCTGCTGAAAGAGGCGGAGCCGCGCGAAACGTCCCGGGTTCGGGCACCGAGCCAAAAGCACCGGAAACCAAGGCTGGGCCGGCCACCAAGGGGCCACGAGGACTACTCTCCCTGGGAATGTCTCCAACCGAACCAGAACCCGAAGCAACAGCTGGACCGGAGGAAAGAGGTACAGGTAACCCCACCTCGACCAGTCCTGCCGAAAGGCATCCACCGCGAACGCTTCACAGTCAGGGAAGGGTGTCACATATATTGGGAGATGCCGAGACCACACTGACGCGAAGAGGTCCACATCTGGGAGACTGTACGTCTGGCAGATCCAACGAAACGAGTCGTAGTCGACCGTCCACTCTGTGGACAGAGGAAGGAAGCGAGACAGACCGTCCGCCAGAACGTTGGACACTCCCCGGACGTGAACCGCACGGAGAGCCAAACCCCGAGAATCCAGCAGACGAACCACTTGAAGGGACCAACCCCAAAGAGCCAAGGACCGAAGAGAACCCCCGCGGTTCAGGCAATGAACCGCTGGAGAACAGTTCGAATGGAGGCGAATGGTCGATCCCCGAGCGACCCGAATCCTCTGAAGCGTGAACCACAGCCACGAACTCCCGAACCGTGCTGTGAGCCCAATGGAAAGACGGACCCTACCGTCCCTGGCCTGCCTGGTGAGCACTGGTCACAAAGCCCCAGCCGAGAGATGACGCGTCCGTGAACACATCGAGTGAGGGCTCGGGAAGGCGCCAAGGCACCAAACCCCGAAAACTCCGAAGTGGAATCCGGTGACGCAGCAACCGACATAAGACCCCCGGAGGACGAACCCAACGATCGCAAGAGAGGCGGAAAGGACGTCCCTGAAGGAACCAAAACATACGCCGAAGCCAAACTCGACCCGGCGGGTAGACTAGCACGGCGAAGTTCAGACTCCCTCACAACCGCTCGAGCAACCGCCGAGTGACCCGGGACCCCCTCAGAAACAGCTGATGGTGGTCTCGCAGCCACCGCAATGCCTCTGGAGGGAGAGACAAGGGAGCGGGCCGAGAATTCCAAACAAGACCCAAATAGGTCCAAACCTGGGATGGAACCAGATGGGACTTCCTCCAGTTCACCAGGAACCCAAACCTGGCGAACTGGGAAAGAACCATATTCCTGGTGAGCAGACAAGCTGACCGACTGGGAGCCCACACCAGCCAGTTGTCGAGGTAGGCCAAAACCCGAATCCCTAGAAGACGCAGACGGGTCGCCACAACCCAGGTAATACACGTGAAAACGCGAGGTGCCAGATTCAAGCCAAAAGGTAGGCATCGAAAACGTTAAGCGTGATGCCCCACCATGAAACCTAACCAGTCCCTGAACCCCGGATAAATAGGAATGTGCCAATACGCGTCCTTGAGGTCCAGGGACACCATCCAGGCACCCGGCTCCAACAAAAGCCGGCCCTGAGACAGAGTAGTCATCCGACAGGAGGGGCAAGGAATCCAGGGGTTCAGGCGGGACAAGTCCAGAATAAACCTCAGATCCGCACAGTCCCGTTTCGCCACTGGAAACAGACAGGGAAACCCACCTGAGGGACATAGTCATTTCGACCACACCCAAGCGCACCCACTCCAAGACAACTTGACGAAGCGCAGGAGAAGAAACCTGCCCTGTTAGCCCCGAACCCCCCAAAGGAGGACAAGTCGCCCAACGCCACCGCAGGCCAGATGACACGACTGAAAAGGCCCACAAATCGTGGGACCAAGCATGGGCAAACAAAGCGAGCCTCTCCCCCATCGCCCCGTCAACGGGGCAAACCGCGAAAGGGCCGACGCCCCTTGCGAGAACCCAACCGTCGAACAGGGCGATCACTGCGCCGACCAGACGACGCTGGCCCCGAAGGGAACAATGGCTCAGAAACTGGCATCAATGGCCCACCTCGACCAGTGGAACCCGGAACCCTGGCACGACCCCTCCGAAACTACCGAGAACGACCGCTCTGGAGAATCAACAAGTCCACCATAGGACGACAACTAGACGAAGCCGCGTGCAGAAACTGAGAGACCGCAGTCTCTGCAAACAGCAACGGACAAAACGGAGACGAAAACCTAAGAGCCAGGGCCCAAGCGGATTCCAAAGAGAGGGCGAGCACAGCCTGACAGCACGCGAGGCGAGAAGCAAAAAACAGACACCGTTTCCTTCAGGATGGGCGCAAAGAGCTTCAACAGTGCAGCCGATGCCCTAGCTGCCGAAGACAGCGCCCCGGACAAAGGCCCTTCACTCAACGCTCCCACATCCTCCTCAAGCCAAGCAGAAGACAGCTCGAGATGGGAAAAGAAACGCAAGACCGAAGCCAAATGCCCACGGGAGCGCAACTCCTCCGCAACCAACGAAGCCAAAAGCTGAGGAACCTGCATGTGAAGCTGGAAAAAGCCAACATTCCGAGAAAGCACAGGCGCGAATAAGCACGCATTAAGGTGCTCAAACTCGCCCCCCAGGTAAACCTGGATAAAAGTAGCAGTTTCCCGCCAATCAAGTGTGCGGGTCCGACAGAACCCATGCCACGCCCCCAACGAAAAGAAAAAGCAGTCTGCCAGTCAGGAAGACTCCGGAACCTCCAAACGCACCCAAAAACGGGAAGAAGAACCGAACTCAAACGAGGGCGGATCCATTGGGGAGGCATAACCCGGGTCTTGCAAGAGGTATGCAGAAAGAGCTTCCCGAGCCACCTTCGCGGAGATATGGGAAGTAGCAAACCCCTGGAAAGACAGAGCCGAGGTAACCAAAGGCGCCCGGAACCGAACCCAGGGAGGAGCCGAACCCAAATCATACTCATACAGGGAAGGGGGGTAAGAAAACCCCTCCCCCTGCAACAATAAGCCCCGCGGGGAAGGCAAAAGCACCCAAGCGGGGTCACAGGGGGCCCAAGGCTCCCAGGTCGACTCCTCCCCAGCCCCAGGATCCCCCACGTCGGGACCCGGGGCAGAGCCGTCCTCCAAACCTTCTACCCCTGAAGAAAAGGCAGAGTCCAAGGGAAAGGCAAACAAGAAGGGGGTCTGCTGGCGGGACCTAGAAGCCTTGGCAGGAGAAACCGGCTCAAATGCCTCCGTCCCCGACCCGGATGGGGCAGGCCCCGAAGCAGCCTGAATCTCACTACCAACTAAACCCTGTGCTGAGGCCGAAACCCTCAGACGTTTCGGAGCCGGACACGGAGGGAGGTGCAGGAAGAACCACAGGGGAAGGACCAGGGAGCGCGACTGGAGCCAAAGCCATAGCGACCAATGCCCCCAGGTCAGGGTCCCTAAAGCCAAAACGGGGCAGCCTCGGGGCATCCGGGTGGGAAACCAACCTAGCACGTTGCAATAACCTAAACCTAACATGCAATGCTGATGCTGCCTGTACCCTAATAGGAACATCCTCAAAGTAAAACTGGAGCACAAGCAGAGAACATGACTCGCAAGACTCCGGGTCAAAGGTGTCATTGACCCAACAGGCAGCATGAGAGTGGCAAAACAGGTGACTGTCACCCTGAGACAAGGGCACACTGCAACCTTCAAACCCACACAAGGCAGGGTGGAACTCGGGAGACACATCCATGGGTCCCCGAGCCCCAACAGGGGTTTCCAGGGCCCGTAGGTTAGCAACTACGGGAAGCCCGGGCAAGGTGTTGCTAACCAGTTAAGAAACCCAAACAAAACAAGGGTAAATGATAATACTGAAAACCCCTGGGACGTGTACAAGCACGGGGGCCTAGCAGAGGGCCACCAAAACAATACCAGGGAAACTATGGACCCACGAGGTAGAACCTCCACCAGGCAAACAAAACAAAAGAAAAACCCCGCAAAAGTACCCCGTCCCCAGAGGCAACAGGAACCGGTCGCCGCTTAGGTGGCAGGCCGCGCAACACCTTGATGCCCTAACCAGCACAATACCACTCCCTACCCAAGGCCAAACAAGGGCCCCAAGCCCCAGCTGGCTCCAAGGGCGAGGCAAATGCCGAGCAGCAAGAACCTCTACGTGAGCGGTTCCCGAATGCCCCAGACAAGATAACCCCGACACGCAAGGGCAGAACTCACAGGGCGCCTAGGGAAGGAAGCCCCTAGGCGCATGCAGCCCCGGTACTGATGAAGTACTCCTGGCCACCGCACACCACACAAAAACAGCAGAGAACGTCACACAAGGCAAACACCGCCCAGGAATTTGAGACCAGAGAAGCGTCTATCCCGGTTGACACTAGCTTGCGAACTGAAGGCAGCCGGTGTAGTGAGGTCCGAGGACCCCCCCTCCCGGGGAGGGGAGGTCTGCGCGGATGACCAGCGTGGCAGTAAATTGATTGTTTGATTGTTTTCCTTGGGATTGTAGGGAGTTTTCTACCTCTCTGTTCGGTTTTTGTTGTAGTTTCTTACCATGTGGGGTTTGTTTTGTTACGCCTACCTTTCTGGGTGCCTAACCCCGGTCGATGGCAGATAAGGAAAACCCCCACCCATATGGGGTTTTCCAGGGCCATTGCTCCCTGAAACCTCTCTGAAGTGGCCAGGTTCTGGCGCTGGTCCCTGGTAGGTCTGAACTCCATAGCTAATGTCCCGGTCTAACATAACATACATTAGCCCGATAAGCTCCAGGGAGCCGTAGGGGCTCACCACAGAAAAATCTGGATAAACATTATAATGCTATTTGAAATTTGGCTCAAATAAAAGTTCACATGGACTCGTACTGTATATATTTAAATAATGCATCAAACATACAAAAGATAGTTAACAGTTTTGAAGACTCACTAATATATAGTACTTGCAGAGAGTATATTAATTAAGATAATTTGACCAGTATATATATCAGTGTGCAAATGTTACACTGGAATATGATTGTCTTTCGCCCACTTCTTGATGACGCGGATAATTCCCTCCACTTGTGGATTAGCAGTGTTGCGAAGCAGTTGCAAGATGTCACCAAGTGAGTCTCTATAGATATGACAAAAAAAATTGAATGGTAAGATCATATGGTATTGGATTTTCTGAAAAATGCAAAAAACAATAAGGTAAAAATTGCAGTCACTGTAGTATAAAAATTACTGTACAGTACTGTACAATTTAGCTTGTCCTTTTCAAAATGTCCCTTGAAAAGTTCAAGCAATTCATGAATCAATAGCTCTTGACCCGATACGTAGCAATCTTTGTACTTTTCATTCAGGTCACTGATCCCATGTCTCACTTTCCTCAGTCTATTTGCAATCTTGTTATCACTATTCTTAAAATGAAGACACCTAAGAATTAGAAGATACCCGTCACTAGACATATCTCTCCCAAAAATTGGGGTTGGACAAAGCTGTCTCTATTCCAATAATCCTGTATGATATGTTTCACTAAATGTTTCATCATACATAATGCAAGAAAAACCAGTGTTGAATGTAACGAAATGCCAATTTCTGGCTGAAGCTATGTCTGATAGTGTTCAAATTACTAGGTGCCATCAGTCACCAAGTTCTTTTAGGCCTACCAGGGATCATGAGCCAGAACCTGGCCCCCTCAAAAGAGGAGCAGGGAGTGGTGGCACTTAAGATAAAATTACTGTGGATTTATTCATGTCTATCACCTAAAAGAAAGCACCCAGAAAGTCAGCTAACCAAAATAGACCACTGTTGGTTATAGCTAGACCACAGCCTTGAGAACCAAAAGAACTTTCCCAACGGTGTAAACAAACAATCAAAAATTCACAAAACTAGTGCAGGCTCCTCCAGTACTGCATGCACTCCGTATGGTCACACTCTCAGTACTGCCAAGTGTTGTTTAGTCATAATGGCTTAGCATTTTCTCCTGATAATTACCTTACCTCTCCCAGTACTGAGACCCTGACACGTAGGAGAGGTGCCCTTGTTTTTTACCCCGTGATGGCATCTGTTTACCGGAGGCCTGAATAAGCTGATGTTAGCCCCCATGTACCTGTGGGAGTTTTAAAACTTATGCAGTACTGTATGAGCTCTTATCTGGACTATATGGGAAGGAGCCCCATTCAGATAAGCCCAACATCTGGTGACAAACTCTCTCGACCCATACCACCATGTACCCCCATCCTACCTTTGCCCTCCCTCCATCTACCACCCTCCCATCCCTCGCTATCGCTCAATCCTACCCCATCCTCCTCCTCCCAGCACTTTCTTGAAGTCAGGCTGTCAGGATGCACAGGTTGTACAAAGTCTGTGCCACAGACTGTCAGACAAGACAACACAGTACAGACAAACAGAACTGACCTCCTCCATACTAGATCCAAATGTATGCAAATCTGCATGAGTAACTAACCTAACTCATTCTCCTGTATACTGTAGTTATAAACTTACTTTGGTTCTTTACCAGCAATTATCATCTGGAACATTCCTACACATGCCCCTCTTTTGCCCTCCCAGTACTCAGGGTTAGGGTCAAGTCTCTCCAGAACATCAAATGCTCTTGCTGCATAGTAGAACTGGCCCATCTTGTAACAATCATTGGCAATTAGCTGCAGCAAACTGAAAGCCTCTGCCGATGTCTCCATCTTGAGGTATAATTCCCAAGCAAGTCTTGGCTTACTGTTCATGATATCTGAGAAAATATAACAACAATATCAATGTCAAAACTCAAAACAGATATAATCAGTGGTATTGTATATTCAGTAAAATAACATAAAATTTTAGGTTGATGTGGAGAAATATCAATGTATTACACATAAAATCGCTTCTTAAATTAAACTTTGTAGTCATATTAGAGCAAAAACTCACAACATCTGGCTAGCCATGACAGAAATACATAGTCATTTTTAATCTTCTCATTCTGTATAAGAAGGAAAACTTCTTCTGCCTCCTTATATTCTCCCACAGCAGCCTTGGCCTGTTCAAGAAAACTAAAAATATATTATGCAATAAGCCAGCGTTCAATATAATGAAATGCCAATTTCTGGGAGAGCCCCAGACGCTGTTACTCTGATTCAGTGCCAAACTACTGCGCCAACAGTCACAAAGTTCTATTGGCCTGCCGGGGGACCACGATAGGAAGAAGACACAGAACCCATTCAGACTTGATGAAAAAGTAACATAACCTGTTCATATATGACAAATGTGAGATATATTAAAAAACCTCAACATTTTTATTAAATGACCTAGAACCCTACAAGCAAATTTACTTGGAAAAGATGATAATAATTGTGCAAAGTACTTTGAGAAAATATCCTGACAAAGTCTCCAGCCCAGCAATTGCCTCTCAAACAGTTGATATTAATTGCTTCAACAGTTTAAGAAAATGAAAAACCCAAAACCATTGACTTCTACAGCAGCCAGTAACATCGATGATAAGCCACAGATGTTTGTCACTAATCCATCATCTCCCACATCAAACGTAACCATTGACACCAAAAATGACCAGCCACCACCTGCTTCTGACATATCACCATCCTCCACCGATAGCGCATTGCTACCTTCCCCCACTGACGCATCACCATCTTCTCCATCTCAAAGGAGATGGTGGAGGATCATCTGAGGGATGACTTAAAGTACTATGTAAGATTTAAAAGTCCCTGCAAATACACAGGGCTAACATTTTCTTCTCCAGGCCTTCTGTAAACCAGATGCCATCTTGGAAAAAATTTGCAGGCACCCCTGGGGTGTGAGGACCTCAGTATTGAGAGGATGACCATGAGTAGCACAAGCTGCAGCAGCTCTCAGCACTGCTATGCAACTTGTGCCCATAACATCACTTAATAATGACAATAAATAACTACAATTATTTTGTGATAATGTCACAGAAGACCCTGACTGTGATAAGACTATGTACAACACATCATGAAACATGACCATGTTCTTTTAGAAAATAAGGGAAGAGAGAGAGACCTGCAGGGGATTTCCAGGATTTGAAGGAATGAAACCATGCAAATACTGCAGCGTCTGGGGCTGTTTACCGGAAAAACAGACACCAACTGCAGCTTAAACCTCCAGGCTACAGGAGGCGACCATGGAGTGCCATGTAAACAAGCATGCAAACCCTAGTGTACCCCCAACACAACCAAAGAATGCCCCAACCAAGGGGGGGAGCTCAAACAGAGGAATCCTCTACTTCTGAATAACTGAAGGTGAGGCTTCCCATTACGGTGGTCAGGCCTCTCGTGGCGAACACCCGAACACACCCGAGAAGGGAAGTTTTGGCTATGCAAGGGCAGTGTTTGTGGACACACAAGAAAGACCCTGAGTACATGAAGCCTGAAATGCCAAATGTGCCAAGCCCACTCAACAAACTGAAATCAAAACAGAATGTGAAGCCTAAACTAAAACGGCAGCAACACATAAAGCAAATTACCACAGAGCAACCAAGTCCAAGACTGGCTGGCACTTAGCTTGAAGCTTTGTGGCTTGCCCATGAAGGGGCATAGTATATATACATAGTATATATATATATATACTTGACATAACTTCCACTCTGTTATAAATATGAGAATGATGCACTGACACTGGGGAAACAGGATATATCGGCTAAAGAAGCAACCATCTGTTCTTAGCTCCAAATAATTTATAAAATACATTTACTGTTGAATTAATGGCCTGATTTTAGTCACATAAGTTATAGAAACTATATACAGTACATGAATAAATGTTTTCATAGATATAGACATTAACAGCATTTTATGATTCCTTTGAAACAAAGACTGAATAACAAACATTATTCATCATTCTTACCTGAGCATAATTGAAGTTAAACGTGTCATCATTGTAAAAGTAAGATTTTATTGAATTTAGATAAAGAAGAACATCCTCAAATTGTTTCAAAAGGAAAAAGCATGATGCCATGCACTGTCTTCCTGGAATGGTGTCACACTCGGAGGCACTCCCACCCACCAGCTGGAAATACTGCTGGGCAATCTTCAGATTTTCTCGCTGCAAAAGTTTTAAAGTTGTAATTTACCAAGAATTAGTATCTTAACTGCAGATCCTAATGATACACTCAATATTGCAAAGAAACTATCTTTCCAGATCAACCAGGCTGTGATTTATTCATCAGGCTGCGAGCAGCCACGTCCAACAGTCAGGTTGACCAGTCTAGCAATGAGAAGTCCTGGTCGAGGACCGAACCACGGGGACGCTAAGCCTCAAAATCATCGCAAGGTAACCGCAAGGTAAGGTAACCCAATGATGATTCTTTGACTACACACACACACAATACAACACCATTTGATGGTCTGCTAATGCTGACAGCAGAGTCAACCTTTAAACCAGAGATTTGTAAATTTCTACATGCCAGGGTCTTTGTTGCTATACAAAAGATATCAATCATGGATATTTATTAATTGGGCAGAATTTGCACAGCAACTAGAGAAAGGAGCATTTTGTATAGTGTAACTTTATTTGACACTGAAATATGCAAATTTCCAGAAGCAATTCAAGTTCATGTGCAGGTAGCTGAAACAATATAGTAAATCTTACTATGATGCAAATCAAAATATTGTACCATATGTGGAGTGCAGTATTTAAACAAATGATTAGTGTCATGGGCCAATCACCTCCCTAAGCTAATATAGATTACAAAGGGTTTTTGACCATAACTGGAAATTAACTTAATAACTACAATGATAAATTTAAGATATTTCCATTTTAACATTGTTGAGACATGTTAAAAGAACATCAATGACACTTACTGAACCAGTTTCTTGTCCTATGGCAGAATTAACTACCCCTTTAAGAATATATTCTTGTGGGACAGTTGGCTCCAGATCCTTGAGAAGAGCATAAGCTTCCTGTACTTCATCCTGTATAAAAAGATTGAATAAAATTATACAAATAGTAATGTAATAGGAAATGTAGCGTATAGTACTAGTACCGAAGGTAGCGCATCACCACCTGATGAAATATAACTAAATTTAATTGCTGCATTTTAATATACAGGTACAGTATTGTGCTGTGAATCTGCAGTGAATCATGGCACCTAGTAGTATGGCACTGAATCATTGTAATAGTTTCAGGGAACCACTGCTGCTTACCCTGAAACTGGTGTTTCATTACATTCAATGCTGGTTTTTTACATTACTGTAGTACATTTATAATGGAACTAGAGTAGTACCAAAGTAATTTTTGGATTTTGAAATTATTTCTTCTAATCACAAAACCTGTGGTGAGAAATAATTTCAAAGTACAATAATTACTTAAGTACTGTTCTAGTTTCCATTATAAATGTTGTACTAATGTAAAATACCATCATTGAATGTAATGAAACACCAGGTTTCTGGCCGAGCCCTGGAGGCTCCTTGATACCCCCCCCCCTCCCTCAGGTTGGCAGTTTTTTCATAATTTTAGAACTGATTAGTGTCAGCCCAGCTCCCTCCTCCCTAGTTAAGTGGAACTAACTACCAGGGGGCTGGCTTGACAAAGTTTTGGTTGTTTGTTTTATTATTGGGGGAAAGTTCTTTTGACATTTTGAGGACTGAGGTCTCATTTTTAAACCATACAGTGATCTGTTTTGATATGTCTACATTTCTGGGTGTTTCCCTGGATAACGGCAAAGATGATAAACTTTAAATGTAAAATGTTTATGGGCCATCACTCCCTTTGCCTCTCTGAGGGGATCAGGTTCTGGCTTGTGGTCTCTGGAAGTACTATTATATAAGCATATTATTTCTATTAATATTTCATGTATTTATTATTCATTAAATAATGTATGGCAGTGTTTGTTAGAAGAGTTAGTCGAGGATCATGTTGTTAGAATACGATAGGTTGGCAGCATTTGTGTGTGGGCGCCTTCCCTAGTCAGTCGGAGGGCGACTCCAGTGAGCAGTTGTTGGATCTGGAGAAACTGGATGGGGAGTGTCGGCTACTCCAAGTATATTGTTTTGCTTGGTTCACACAAAGAACAATCATCACAAATGTTCACACTTGTATGTCTGGTTTAACAGTGATTAAGTGTATTACCAGTATTATATTAATGTACTGCACATCATAACTCGGTGATGGTGATAATATTTTAGCAGTGGTCAAGTGTTGATTCCTGTTCCTTTTATTTGTTATATTATTTTTAGTTTCATTCCATGTAGTAAATTGGTGGGCCACCTTTTTAAGAATAGGTGTTTTCATTAATCCTGTAGCAAGCAGTTGATAGAACAGGCCAATAAGGGATTTACAAGCTGCTACCAGGTCTACAAGCCATACAGAATGTGAATGGTGACAGTATTTGTGGTAGTGCTGGGGTTTTACTTGGTGTTAGTATCTGTGGTCCTGGAAGGGGTGCCACATTATCTGAGTCCTGTCTAGCATTGGCCGAGGTGATGGACATTTCTTGCCATTCTTTTCCTCTTTCTCTTATTAAAAAATCCCCCTGGTATGTATGAGAGTTGCTGCATTCATAATTGCATTCTTTTGATTTTATTCACTCTGATATGAAATGCTGGGCAATCTGTTAAAACATATCTGTTGGTTTAGTGAATTTTTACATGGTTTTGAGTGGAAAAATTTGCAATTTGCAATGTAGAATGATTATTCTATAACAACTATATTTTTGCAAAACAGCTATGGCAATTACTAGAATATAATTACTAAATAAAGCATGAAAACAAAACAGAATATCTGAAGGAAAGAGAAAATGCTGTATGAGCTGTAATTACTAACTTATGCAAGGATAATATGAACCCAAACATTTTCAGACAAGTAATAAAATATGTAAACAGTACCTGTTTAAGGTAGTAAATCACAAGATTCAGTCTGGCCTCAGGAATAACATCAACCAGTGGAGGAAGGACTTGAAGAGCTCCCTCACCACCTCGAAAAACCACTAAGTTGTGTCGCACCAGATCTTGGGCAAATGTCAATGGTGATGATGTAACATCCTATAAAATAATTAACTTTTTAATATTCAGTTTTATATTATTCATACTTAAAATTTGATTTTCAGACTGTTAGTGAAAGACATTAACAGGTCCAAAATCATTATTATTTGCAATATGGCAAAATAGGTACAGTACAAGACATATAATTATGAGTAGAATTCCTATGAAAACTTAAATTGTAGGATAATACAGTACAAATTTCTGGGTATTTAGGCAGTACTGTACATGTAGTGATGATGGTAAAGTAAATAACGAATATAATGGGAGGTGATAAACATAAAACTGTCTCCAGGAGGATCGGAGTATACAGCTTAAGGAGGGCAGCCAACTCCAAACCAGCAGAGACCATAACTCCACAAGAGGAACCTCACCAAGCATATCAACATTCTCCGAGAGCCAATCAGAATAAAGTTCTTGAAGGCTCAAGAAATGCACGACAAAAGCAAAACCTGTGCCAAGCCCTAATCAAAAACAAAGAACAGGCCACTAGCCAGGACGACTCCAGAACCTTATAATGCACCCAATACGAGGAAAAAGAACTGAACTTAAAGGAAGTTCAGTTCAGATTCCATAACTGAGGCATAAACCGGGTTGCACAGGAGGTACGCACTAAGGGCCTCCCAAACCTCCACTGGGGTAACCTGGAAGGAAGGAAACCTCTGAAAGGACAAGTCTGCAGAACCCAAAGGTACACGGAAGTGAACCCTAGGGGAGCCGCACTTAACTCAAACTCATAAAGGGAAGGGAGATAAGAAAACCCATCACTCTGTAACAAAAGACTTTTCACAGAAGGCACAAAGGCCCACAAAAGGCCAAACGGGTTCCAAAGACCCAAATCCCACTCTCCCAAAGCCTGGGAATTGCAGAAGAGGGCCCCTGGGGCTGAGCTTGCATCCATACCCACCACCCAGGAAGAAAAAGTGGAGTCCAAGAAAAAGGCTTCGAAGGAAGAGGTCGGCTGGGAAGACCCAGAAGCCTTGGCAGAATTGAGAGACTCAACTGCCACCATGCCTGTATCAGAAGGGGCAAGCCCCAGATCACCCTAAGCCACATCCCGAGCTAAACCCTGCCTTGATTCCACAACCCTCAGATGCTTCGGAGTCAGAAGCAGAGAGGGAGGACAAGGGCGAAACTGGCCCACCAGGAAAGGAAGAGGGGATGCGAATGGAACCAAGGTCAAGGTGACCAACACCTTAAGTGGTGATGCTTGATGTTTAAATATAAGGATTATTATAGAGCATACTCTAGTGACTTTTATATTTGTTCCATTCACCTGGGCTTTTTTATATTTGTTATAATTAGGCGGGAAGAGGAACGAACATGTAATCCATATGGTGTTTATTGACAGCAGATGATGATGTCACACCGGTTATTGGATACAAGACTTGCTATTTACAACACTTATAAAACAAAAGAGCACCTGTTCAAAATATTATGCACCTAATCTAAGTAGTTCTTAATCCTACAAAATACTTTAATCCTAAGATTTAAAAATCCTCTCTAACACTGTCCATAAAGCCGTAGATTGTAAATCCAAGTTTTCTGCCACAAGGTTATGGAAAATCTAATTTTCTACTGATATGAACATCTGGTCCCTCACCCAGCAGTCAAACTGTGCTCCAAAATTGCTGTTGTTAGCCAACGCCCTCAATTCTGTATATAAATCCTGTAAGAATTCCTGTTGCTATCTTGTCTTCCTCTGGAAATCCATCAAACTGATGTGATATAAAGGTTTCACTATATAATGACATTTAAGCAGGGTAATCAGGTCTTCATAGGTCTTTATGTTATTACCTAAGTGTAGTTACAGGATAAGAGCCACGCTCGTGGTGTCCCGTCTTCCCAGCACTCTGTCATATAACGCTTTGAAATTACTGATAGTTTTGGCCTCCACCACCTCCTCACCTAACTTGTTCCAACCATCTACCACTCTGTTTACAAAAGTGAATTTTCTTATATTTTTCCAGCAGCTTTGTTTCGTTAGTTTAAATCTATGACCTCTTGTTCTTGAAGTTCTTGTTCGTCTTGAAGTGTGTGGTAGCTTTGGAGTGCACACGTTACCCTGGACACTATATACTGCTGTACCCAATAAAACTAAAAGTACCAATTTCTTGTTTTTGTCTTCCTTAATCCCATGATACTTGAAATTTGCTTCCAGCAGGCACAGTCACAGGTCTAGTGAGATCTTGGTAGCATCAAACGGTTCCATTGGGATGAGTGATGAAGTAGCCATGGCCATAGGTTAAACACAACTCACTGTTGTCCAAGTTCTTTCACTCATCCACATGACGTACTCTACCCTCTATGCTCCTCACCTTGTCTTGTACATACAAATACAAATATTTATTCAGGTAAAGTACATACATACAAGGTCAAATACAAAAGTTGATGGATTTATAGATAGAGCTAGTACATACAATGCCTAAAGCCACTATTACGCAAAGCGTTTCGGGCAGGAAAAATACTAAAACTAAAACTTAATACTAATTGAGATTAAAGTATAAATTGTGTTGAGAAAAAATCAGGCTCTCAAAAAATAAAAACATAGGCTCTCTGCATCCACTGTTAATCCTCGTCACCACTGTTATAATTAGTTGGGAAGAGAAACGAACATGTAATCCACATGGCATTTATTGACATCAGACGATGATGTCACACCGGTTCTCGAATGCATGACTTACTACTGTACTTAATACTAATAAAACAATTGCATCTGTTTGAAACATTATGCACTAACCTAAGTAGTACTTAATCCTACAAAATACCTTAATCATAACAATATTTTATGCAGTAAAGGCTGGGTTTCGATAGTTTGTGCTCTAGGGTACAGCTTAAAAGCACATGGCCCCCCCCCCACCTTGTATTAAGCAAAATTGCAGATAACAAATAGCCTAGACTATTGGAAATGTCAAAGGTGATGTGTAGATTTACTCATAACCATTTTTGAAGGTTAGAATAACGAGTGATGAGCCATGAATGACACAATGAAAGCCTATTTATATCTTAAGGAAAAGATTCATTTTCAGGTAAGATTTATCTGTCCATTGAGTGAATGGCACATTATAGGGACTAAGCTGTGGTTTTTAAATGTGGTTCCAATTCTTATGTTTGTTGGAACTATTATTTACTGTCAATGTGATTAAATATACAGTATGTACTTTAAATTGTGATGAAATGATATGCCCGAAACGCTGTGCGTATTAGTGGCTTTAGGTATATTACATACTTGCTCTACCTAGAAATCCAATTCTGTATTCTTCTTGTATCTCTTTATGTATACAGTATGTACTTTTCCCTAAATAAACATCATTATTTTATATTATTTGTATATATATATATATATATATATATATGTTGGCTGAAAAGAGGCCTTAGACTTATTTACTGTGTAAAGAACCATTGCAGACGAGGCTACCAGGAGGCAATGGTCTGTATTGGTTCACTGACTTTCTGGATGCCTTCCCTGGTGAGGAGGTGGAGTGTCACCTGCTTCCTGCACCTCTGTGAGGGGGGGGGGATGGGGCAGATTCTGGCTCTGGTCCATAGTAGGTTGAACAGAACTCCATGGCTGATGTGATCTAGTAGTTAGGAGCCATCTCAGCGAGATAGATTGAGGCAGCCACCGGTGGTCTACCAGATATTGGCATTTCATTACATTCAATTTTATCTCATAAAGAGCCAGATTCTGGCCCTGTCTCTCAGTAAGTAAGGCTGGGTTTCAGGAGCTCCTCTCTCTGTAAGTAAGTCTGCTGCATCTACCAAAGGTTTGGCTGGACCAGCAGTAAACTGAGGGAGCCCTACCAGAAAAGCACAAGCATCATGTTGAGAAACAAAGCTGATGTATACAAACATTTAAGTTATCTATATATTATTTTAAAATTACCGTAGTTACAATGACAAATTTTGAAAAGACACACAGATAACTGTACTGATGGCATTATTCCTTTACTAAAACTAGGCAAACACTAAACATTACTGCATTGAATAAGGACTCACTTGTAATGTTCTTAGTTCTTGTTCTGCAGCTTTCCCATTGTAAAGTCTAAAATGGTTACAGGCTTTGAGATTGATAGCAATGGGAGAGTCTGGATAGTGTTGGAGGTAAACAGCCAGTACCTCCTGTGATACATCATAGTAGTCCAGCTTGTAGTAACACAGAGCCACGTACACATTCAACGCCAAGTATTCTCTAAGGGAAGAAATAAGAATATGTGACGTTATCTAAATAAACCAAAACAAGTTTAACCCCTCAACTGCGCCAGCCAACAAATGTCGTTTTGAGAGTTGTTATTTTTTTTATTAGGCTATATTTTAATGTTTTTTAATGTTTTCATTACACTTTGTGTTTTGAAATAAAAATGGTTTAGTTTGGGAACATTTTGACATTAACTTTATCTGAACATTTATAAAAACAACAGAAATATGTCCTTAACAATTGCACTTTGAAGTTTTTGCCTAAAACAGGTGTGCAGTGCAGGGGGTTAACATCTAGCAACAACAGATGATTATAACAATTATTCTGTAATGCTGTTGAGCGTGGAAAGTTGCATGAATGGGCAGGCGACACTTGGAATATCCTACACATCTTCATTTACGTTCTTCTCCCAGAGTAAATGCCTCCTTCCCTCATGACAAGTGACACAGGGAAATAATAATGATCCATTGTATGCTAAGTACTTTATAGTGTAACTTATAAATTCAGACTTGTTTATAATGAAATCATCCTAACAGTGGTTCTATTTTCATAAGGAATTGCACCCCTTGGATATCAGTTTTATGTAAGAATTTGTGGTGAATTCCAAATCGACTGTACATAGTAATTTTCTGTCGATTATATTTGTGCACTATTTTTATTTTTTGCACTTTTAGTAGAAACAAGAAAAGACATCATTAAGAAACAAGAGAAGGGATCTCAGATGATCGTAGAGTATATATTCCACCCAGGAGTCATGTCACCCTCCATGTTGATGTAACTTTCATACCCACCTTAACAGTAGTCTCTACAAGTGGTTCCATCATCACTCTAGAGAAGGAACACAGTGCCAAGTCTAACTCACTCCACCACAAAGGATACTTGGTGGTAGATTGAGTGACTGATGTGACTTATGGCACCTAGTAGTATGGCACTGAATCAGTGTGATAGATAGATAGCGTATGTACTTTACCTGAATTTGAATTTTGACATTCAATTACATCATTACATTGTGACTTGGATAACACATTAGTATAGATATTCTCCAAGAATACCCATTTTACCAATACTGTAGCAATGTAAAGAAAATATATACACAAATAAGAGTGACAAGGTATATACTTTGGCTAACCTGTTATCAAGTAATATACGCTTATATATATCAATAGCCTCTTGATAGTGTGACCGTAGGTAGTGTATGGAGGCTAAACTGAGCTGGTCCTCGATTACATCTTCTAGCTGCTGGTGATGCATCATCAGTCGCTTTTCATCATTAAATTTGTGGGCCAGGTGAAAAAATAGCCTTGTTCGAAGAGGAGATTTCGGAGCTTTTTCTGCTGCCTAAAGACACGAAACAATCTGCAGTAATATGATACTAAAAATAATCATAGCAGAAGATAACTAAATACACAAGAATCTTTGTTGTTATCTTTTACATAAAATAACTCAGTACTATATTACAAAAAAGGTTAACATATGAAAATAAAACTCACCTCTTCAGCTTCTGGGTACATCCCTAAGTAAAAGTAACAACATGCCAGACTGATCCAGTTTTCAGGTGCAGGGTTTTTATGCTGCAGAGTCAGGGTCTGAAACTCTATCAATGCCCGTTTGTAGTCGCCCAAGTGGAATGCGCAATAACCAATCCACTGATCATTGAGTTCATTGGTGTTACCACTGCTACGCTGAAACTGAAAAAAGCCCCATTGAATATAATGAAACGTCTCTTTTCTGGTAGGGCCTCGGAGGCTTCCCGAAGCTATCCTGCTGAGCTGGCTCCCTCCTTTTGAGTCACAGCAGCCATAGTAGTTCTGTATTATGGTCTACCACGAACTAGAGCCAGTACCTGACAATTCCCCACAGAGGCACAGTAAGTAGGGGGATTGTTACGATCACCCTTACTGAGAAAACATCCAGGAAGTAAGTGAAGCAATACAGATAATTGCAAGGTTAAATAAACCACCCCAATTAGACTAGCCACCAACAAGTGGCAACACCACCAGAAGCTCCTGGTGTCCATGCCACCTTTGCCTAAATCCAGAGCTGATACCATGAACTGACACACCTGTTAAAAAGGAGAGAATTGGGGAGCTACCAAGACCCTACCAGAAAGAGACATTTCATAACATTCAATGTAGGTTTTCTGGAGGATTCAAACAATGGATCCCTGAAGCGAACTAATAACAGAAAACAAGGAAAACATGAAACATACTAGGGAGGAGGAGAGCAAAGATGAAAATCATAAAAACAAGATGCTGGGGTGGGAAACCTCGCCAAGGGCAATGCAAGCCTAACGGAGACCAGGTACATTGACAAAGTAGTGAGCCACAAGGACCCTATTAGTTCTCTAGAAGCCCCAAGCCCAAATATCAGTCTATGACATGTTAGAGAACACAGCGAAAAGAGCTGTGAACTTGCAAAGATCATGGAACCGAGAGTAGACCACTGGCTGGATAGACTTTATGACACCACAGACAACCTTTGATTAATGAACTTTGGAACCAGCAGAATCAAGGTGAATGGGCCAACAAACTGCATTTACTAAAAGCAGTGCGGGTGGCACCAAGGTAGCACAGAACCACCACAACCAGACAACAAATAAGGCATCCAAGTTGGACAAACCAATCATCAACCAACAAAGGAACTCTATGGAAAGCCAACCATCTCTTTCTTCACCAGAAAGGACAGAGAAGGCTGGAAACAAAGAAACCACCCACCAGGGCCAAAAGAACAGAACTTGAGACTCCAGAGGAGAGCATGAAGCTCCCCCACCTGACAACCACAGGCAAGGGTCAACAAAATCAGAGCCTTAAGTAACGTATCCTGAACCAAAGGGGCAACAGAGAAACAAGAGGAGAGCAAAAACACCAACATCTTGTTCAGAGACCAACACAGCTCAGGAAGAGCATGAGCCTGCCTGAGGTGAAAGAAAGCATGACACATCATTAAGTCTCAAAATGTCATCATTAAGTCATGGTGCTAAATGACACCAAGGAGACATCGATACGAAAGGCCAACAAGAACAGTTTCGCCAAAGCTGAACAGTAATAAGCAAGCAATGTTGATCAACAAACAACCAGGACAAAACTACTGGAATAGACACACATAGTCGGAAATGTGACGAAGAGATACACAGGTGAAAGAAGTGCCGAGAAACTTCATACTGCCACTGCAAGAAGACGCAGGTGGGACACGAACAACTCAACCACCTACACCACATACAAATGGTGGCAGATTTATGAAAGAAATATCCAGATGAGAATATTGGTGAAGAATATCAAACTAGCTGTGTATGACATTAGCCAATTTGCTGAAAGAGGCAAAATCACAGAAATAAGCCTGGGTTTGGGCACCAGGCCAGTAGAACTGGACATTATGGCTGAGCTAGTCACTGAGGAGAAGGCAAGATCACCTTACTCGAGTATGTATTGCTTTAGTTACTTCATGGATATTTTCTCAGTGAGGGTGAATGTAACAATTCCTTGCTTCCTGTGCCTCTGTCAGGGAACCACCTGACAAAATAGACCAGGTTCTAGCTCTGGTCCCTGATGCACTATTATATAGGACTATAAGACTCTTATGGCTGATATGGCATGACACTGGAGGAGCCATTTCAGTGAGATAGCTTCAAGGAGCTAGCATTTGGTTCCTCCAGAAAGTTTACACAGACTTAGCAACAATAAAAATCCACTACTACTACAAAATTGTGATTTTATAAAACTTGGATGGAAATAATTTAAGTTTGAGACAAACAACATATGTATTAACATTACTACAACATACTATAAATTGCATGAAAAACAGTATGGAGAAATGCAACCAGGTACAGTATTTAATTGTGATGAAATATGCAGATAACCGATTTTAAAAATTCATTTAGACTATCAATGATATGTGCACAAAAGAAACTCCAGCATAAATGCCATGAAATGCCTCTTTCTGGTGGGTACCTTGGTCCTCCAAGATACCCATCCAAACTCTTCCAAATTTTGGGTACCAGGCTATAACGAATCACTAGTGCTTATTAGAGATCAGAACCAAAATCTGGTCCCATTCAATAAGGACAAAGGTAAGTCTGGGGTTATATGATCACCATATAATATTGAAGGGAAGACCACTAGAAAGATAGAGCACACCAAAATAAGCAACTGCTTTGACAACAGTTGCATCTCTGATTGGAACTATGTACACACTCATAGTCTACGTTCAAACACTAGTTAGTACTACCCCCTCACCACCCAGACCAGCACCAGGTGGTCCCCGGTAGGCCTACAGAACTCGGTGGATGATGTGACCTAAGTAGTTGGTACACTATCAGTGATAGTAGTTTTAGGGACCCTCAAGGGGGCTGCCCGCAGAAAATATGTACAGTGTTTAACTGTGAAAATCGTTCACTAATGTAGAAGGGGCTTACACTCAATACGGGGCAGTGAAAGAACGTGTTGAGTTTCATGAGAGGGAGCACAAGTGCAAGATGCAATTTGGGGCTCCTGTATACAATACTGTACTGTGAGAGAGGAAGTGGTAAGGCAATAAGAAATGACAGGTGAGGGAGATGAAAGAAAAGGGCAGATAGGGATAGGTAATAAGATTTACATTAACAAATTTTGATGGTACTCATAATTTAGTTAAAAGTAATTTGTACCTCTAATAGAGTAATGGCTCCTGTAAAATCTCTCTTCTTAAGGAAATCTTCTAACTTTGGCAGCACTTTCTTGTTGCTGCCAGAGTTAGCCTCTGTTGCAGCATTTGATGACAAGGCTGGCTTTGCACGTGACAGTATCTGAAACAATGTAAAATTATTTTATTTATACAGTATTACATATTTAAGATTTATGAGAGAAACATGAAATTATTGTATAAGCACAAACAAAAATCTGTTAAGTTAGATTTAATTCAATTTTAATTCAATTGTGTCAGGGGACAGGAAGTCAACGTGTACTCATACACATTTTGGCTTTTATCAAGATCATCCCCTCCCCTTGCTGTACAGTACTGTCAGGTTCATTCTTAACACACGATTGGGATTTCCAGGTTCAAATTCCAGGTGGGGCAAAAATGGTTAGGTGCATTTCTTATCACCTAATGCACAGTTCACCTAGCAGTAAATGGGTACGTGGCAGTTAGTCAATTTGTTGTGGGGTTGCATCCTGGGGAAGGCTAGTAGTTCGACCTTGGGGGGACATCTATATAATCCTAACATGTATAACACTGGCTGCCTGTTCCCCCTAAAAATTTATAATTATTATTATACTTGACATTTGAAAGAACTGGTATGGAATGATGTCTTCTAACTTGTTCCTTAATTCATTATGTGTCTGTTCTAACAGAGCCTTAATATAACCCACTCTTAAGAAATAACAGAAATTACAACATTCAAGGAGCTCCTACAGAAAAAAAATGTGAAAAAACAAAATAAAATGGTCTACCTAAAAATTGGTGTTACTCTTTACAATACATAGAATCACAACTTACCATGATTTCTTATTTGTGATTGTGTTCTTCTTACAAATTTAAATAGACATATTCAGTTGCAAAAAATATGTGCAGAGATTATTTTATCTGCTTGTTATTTCCGTCTTATGTGGAGTGAACTGTCAGGTTCTCCCAACCTGGGGCACAAGGCCCACAAGCACAAGGCTCTTCCTTGGGAAGAGAGCAGCGTAAGGGAGATGACAGGGGATGGTCTTATATGGTTCGTCTTGCTGGGCACTGTACCCCACTTCACCTCTCCTGTTGGAGGTCCTGAGTGTCGTGGAGATGACAGGCGATGGTCCTGTACGGTCCGTCTTGATGGTGACTGTACACCACTTCTCCTCTCCTGCTGGAGGTTCTGAGTGTGATAAAGTGAGTATCGTTGAGATGATAGGCGATGGTCCAGTATGGTTTTTCTTGCTGGTGACTGTACACCACTTCACCTCTCCTAATGGAGGTTCTGAGTGTGGTAAAGTGAGTGTGACAGAGATGATAGGCGAAGGTTCTGTATGGTTCGTCTTGCTGGTGACTGTACACCACTTCACCTCTCCTACTGGAGGTCCTGAGTGTGGTAAAGTGAGTGTGACAGAGATGATAAGCGAAGGTTCTGTATGGTTCGTCTTGCTGGTGACTGTACACCACTTCCCCTCTCCTGCTGGAGGTCCTGAGTGTGGCGGAGACGGCAGGAGACACGGCCACAGGCCAGGCTCAGGAACGTCAGGGCCGTGTTGTGTTTGGCCCGTCGTCATGGTAACCCACATTCACTATAGCCTTAATACGTACACTACTATTCCATCCAACGTTGCTCTCACATAACATGCCTTAGGTAAGAATTCTTTTAGATCTGTCATTTGATAGCTTCTAATAATTTCGTTGTCTCCCTCGGTATTATAATGCATATTGTTCTATACAAAATTTATACTGTTGATTTTACTTCATACTTGAACGCCAGTGTTGACATTCCTGCGGCGCCCCTCGATACAACAACACTGCCGCCACAACTTCAAGTTCAAGTACGTTTATTGAGACAATAAAATACATCTCAAAAGGATAGAGTAGCTTAGGGCTATTTCTACCCTCCTCACTACCCCAACCTAACATTATACACACTAACCTCACGTTACTTAAGCTCATCTAACGTACTCTAACCTACCCTACCCTACCCTACTCTAACCTAACCTAACCTTTTTGAATTGCAACTAACTCCCAAACTCAAGTCTCTTAACTAAGCTCCACACTTTCCATAGCACAGCAACACTTAGCTATCACCATCAACACAACTCCTCATCTTTGCCATCCTGAGTCATGTTCCACTCATATGCTTATTTTTTTGTCATCCTCCTCACATAAATCGAAGACATCGATAACTTCCAACCTCTGCCAAATTACTAACATTGATTCGCGACTGCAAGTGTCGCATCTTTCAACATAACCACTCGTGCAGTCATTGCGAGGAATACATGCAAACCTGCACATATCGGAAAGAAGAAAGCACTGTGACAGCCGTCTTGAAGGTTGTGTGGGGAGTGCTCACTCCCCACTAAACTAATAAACTAATAAATAGTACCAAATAAACCTCCTTGTGATAGGTATTTTGGCAACCTGAACTGATGTCAGTGCTTATTTAGTTGGAAACTAACCTGCCACCTTATTGTATTGAATGAGTTACCCTCATGCAAGAATATCTTTACTTGCTTGCTTGCTTGCAAGAGGGTATATTGGGTTGTGAGAGTACATAATATTAGTGTTCATACATTCCTGCAAAGCCACTAACACACGTAGTGTTTTGGGCAGGTCTTTATGCTAACAAATGCTATAAAGGTAAGATTATTAATAGGTACATTGTAGCAAAATTTGAGTTTACCCTAATAACTACAATATAAATTAATGGTAGTGATTACACTGATGAGGTTGCATGTCTTAAGTTCAGTGTGATAAAATTGAGTGAGTGGGTAGCACAAGATACAGTGTTACTTTAGAGCACAAAGTAGGAAACTATGAGGATGAAATTAGCTACTTTTTGGTTTTACTTTTGAATAAAGCATAGGTTGGACAACTTTTTAATTCATTAGGGACCGCGTTCCATAGACTGGGTCCTTTCATTTGCATGAAGTGTTTGCACAGATTTAGTCAATTTTATATTGATAGCAATCTAATTTCAAAGGACCATTTCCAGGTGGAGAAAATGATTGGAAAGTAATGATGATCTTGTTCACTTAATTAGTTAATTCTGAGGACGATATATCTAAGGAAATTGATCAAATGATTAATATATCCTACTGTCTAATATATCCTATATCCAAGAATATAAATGTAAGTGTGTGTGTGTGTGTGTGTAATTACCTAAGTGTAGTTACAGGATGAGAGCTACGCTCGTGGTGTCCCGTCTTCCCAGCACTCTTTGTCATATAACGCTTTGAAACTACTGACGGTCTTGGCCTCCACCACCTTCTCACTTAACTTGTTCCAACCGTCTACCACTCTATTTGCGAAGGTGAATTTTCTTATATTTCTTCGGCATCTGTGTTTAGCTAGTTTAAATCTATGACCTCTTGTTCTTGAAGTTCCAGGTCTCAGGAAGTCTTCCCTGTCGATTTTATCAATTCCTGTTACTATTTTGTATGTAGTGATCATATCACCTCTTTTTCTTCTGTCTTCTAGTTTTGGCATATTTAATGCTTCTAACCTCTCCTCGTAGCTCTTGCCCTTCAGTTCTGGGAGCCACTTAGTAGCATGTCTTTGCACCTTTTCCAGTTTGTTGATGTGCTTCTTAAGATATGGGCACCACACAACAGCTGCATATTCTAGCTTTGGCCTAACAAAAGTCATGAACAATTTCTTTAGTATATCGCCATCCATGTATTTAAATGCAATTCTGAAGTTAGAAAGCATAGCATAGGCTCCTTGCACAATATTCTTTATGTGGTCCTCAGGTGATAGTTTTCTATCTAGAACCACCCCTAGATCTCTTTCTTTATCAGAATTCTTTAAAGATTTCTCACATAATATATAGGTTGTGTGGGGTCTATGTTCTCCTATTCCACATTCCATAACATGACATTTATTAACATTAAATTCCATTTGCCAAGTGGTGCTCCATATACTTATTTTGTCCAGGTCTTCTTGAAGGGCATGACAATCATCTAAATTTCTTATCCTTCCTATTATCTTAGCATCATCAGCAAACATGTTCATATAATTCTGTATACCAACTGGTAGATCATTTATGTACACAATAAACATCACTGGTGCAAGAACTGAACCCTGTGGTACTCCACTTGTGACATTTCTCCATTCCGATACATTGCCTCTGATTACTGCCCTCATTTTTCTATCAGTCAGAAAATTTTTCATCCATGATAGAAGCTTACCTGTCACCCCTCCAATATTTTCCAGTTTCCAGAACAACCTCTTATGTGGAACTCTGTCGAAAGCCTTTTTTAGGTCCAGATAGATGCAGTCAACCCAACCATCTCTTTCCTGTAATATCTCTGTGGCTCGATCATAGAAACTGAGTAAATTCGATACACAGGATCTTCCAGATCGAAAACCATACTGTCTGTCTGATATTATATCATTTCTCTCTAGGTGTTCTACCCATTTAGTTTTGATTAGTTTTTCCAATACTTTCACTATTACACTTGTCAATGATACAGGTCTATAATTGAGGGGGTCTTCCCTGCTGCCACTTTTGTAGATTGGAACTATGTTAGCCTGTTTCCACACGTCTGCTACGATTCCTGTACACAGGGATGCCTGAAAGATCAGGTGAAGTGGAATGCTGAGCTCAGATGCACATTCTCTCAGAACCCATGGTGAAACGCCATCTGGGCCAGCTGCTTTGTTCTTACCGAGCTCCTTGAGCATTTTTTCCACTTCGTCTCTAGACACCTCTATGTGCTCTATGTTGTTCTCTGGAATTCTTATTGTATCTGGTTCCCTAAAGATTTCATTTTGTACAAACACACTTTGGAACTTTTCGTTTAGTGTTTCACACATTTCCTTTTCATCTTCCGTGAATCTATTTCCCATTTTCAACCTCTGAATATTATCCTTTACCTGCAATTTGTTGTTTATGAATTTATAGAATAGACCTGGTTCTGTTTTACATTTGTCTGCAATCCCTTTTTCAAAATTTCTTTCTGCCTCTCTCCTCACTGCCGTGTAGTTGTTTCTCGCATCTTTGTATCGCTGGTATGTTTGGGGGTTCGGCCTCTTCCTGTATTGATTCCATTTTTGTGTCTTTTGGTCTCTAGCCCTCTCGCAATTTCTATTGAACCAATCCTGTTTCCTAGTTCTGCATCTCTGTTTTGGTATAAATTTTTTTGTGCCTTTATCATATATTTCACAAAACTTGACATACATCTCATTCACTTCCTTCCTAGCATCAAGTCTGTCCAATTATACTCACTAAAAAAATTTCTAAGGTCACCATAATGTCCTCTCCTGAAGTCTGGTTTTTCAACTGCTTCAACCTCCTTATTTTCTTCCAGCTTATAACGCATTGCATACTTTATTCCCAAAAAGACATGGTCACTTTTACCCAAGGGAGGAAGGTACTGAATGTCAAATATCTCTTCCTCCTTCCTGGTAAATATCAAATCTAGCATGGAGGGAACGTCCCCTTCCCTCATCCTCGTAGCTTGTTTAACATGTTGATACAAGAATGTTTCCAGGATGAGGTCTACAAATTTACAGGTCCAAAAATCTTCTGTTTTAGCTTCATATGCTTCCCAGTCTATGGATTTCAAGTTGAAGTCACCGACTATCAACAGTCGTGATCTATCGTTATCCGCTCTCGCTATAATCTCTCATTATTGTTATAAGACCTTCACGTTTACTATCTAGCTCCTCCTTTGACCATGTGCTGCTTGGCGGTGGACTATATGCATTTATTCATTAGTTTATCATTATATATCAGTGTGTGTGTGTGTGTGTGTGTGTGTGTGTGTGTGTGTGTGTAATTACCTAAGTGTAATTACCTAAGTGTAGTTACAGGATGAGAGCTACGCTCGTGGTGTCCCGTCTTCCCAGCACTCTTTGTCATATAACGCTTTGAAACTACTGACGGTCTTGGCCTCCACCACCTTCTCACTTAACTTGTTCCAACCGTCTACCACTATTTGCGAAGGTGAATTTTCTTATATTTCTTCGGCATCTGTGTTTAGCTAGTTTAAATCTATGACCTCTTGTTCTTGAAATTCCAGGTCTCAGGAAGTCTTCCCTGTCGATTTTATCAATTCCTGTTACTATTTTGTATGTAGTGATCATATCACCTCTTTTTCTTCTGTCTTCTAGTTTTGGCATATTTAATGCTTCTAACCTCTCCTCGTAGCTCTTGCCCTTCAGTTCTGGGAGCCACTTAGTAGCATGTCTTTGCACCTTTTCCAGTTTGTTGATGTGCTTCTTAAGATATGGGCACCACACAACAGCTGCATATTCTAGCTTTGGCCTAACAAAAGTCATGAACAATTTCTTTAGTATATCGCCATCCATGTATTTAAATGCAATTCTGAAGTTAGAAAGCATAGCATAGGCTCCTTGCACAATATTCTTTATGTGGTCCTCAGGTGATAGTTTTCTATCTAGAACCACTCCTAGATCTCTTTCTTTATCAGAATTCTTTAAAGATTTCTCACATAATATATAGGTTGTGTGGGGTCTATGTTCTCCTATTCCACATTCCATAACATGACATTTATTAACATTAAATTCCATTTGCCAAGTGGTGCTCCATATACTTATTTTGTCCAGGTCTTCTTGAAGGGCATGACAGTCATCTAAATTTCTTATCCTTCCTATTATCTTAGCATCATCAGCAAACATGTTCATATAATTCTGTATACCAACTGGTAGATCATTTATGTACACAATAAACATCACTGGTGCAAGAACTGAACCCTGTGGTACTCCACTTGTGACATTTCTCCATTCTGATACATTGCCTCTGATTACTGCCCTCATTTTTCTATCAGTCAGAAAATTTTTCATCCATGATAGAAGCTTACCTGTC